TGACAATGACGGATTAGTATAGACGTCATTGGGATGTGACGATCATCGAACTGTATTATATACGATTCATGGTATGATATATTCTGGTATGCAGTCACGTGACTCACTCCATCGCAAATTAATCAAAATGGACGCACGACAAATAGAACGGAGTCGAGTGAGTGAACCTGTTTATTTATTTATTTATTTATATGTAATAATAATGCTTATTATTGTATATATAATACTGTCCAATGTAAATGTTATAGGTTTTCTCATTCGCCTCGGCGGTTTAAACGGTGTTTATTTCGATTTGACAGAAATTAGAAATGGGATATAAGAATGAAAGACATAAAAATGAAAACGAAAATAGGTTAAAGTTAAACTTTAACGCACTCCTTTTCTGTAATGACTGGACTAAGTAATGATGGCGGGGATATATGAAATGAAATGAAATGAAATGGAGTTTAACGTCCTACTGTTCTGCTCCTAACCTGGGCTAATGAAGACGGGCATACGCCATACAGTGTGCTATGAGGGAAATTTTGCCCGGACAGCGGCACTACGGCCTACTCTTATATCGAATTCCAACTGCCAAGGGATCTTTTACGTGCACGCCAATGTGTACACGGGACCTCGGTTTTTCGTCCCATCCGAACGACTAGACAGCTTTCCTTGTCAGCCCCTCCGTCCTGCATCACTGACAAGGGAGAACCACGCCGGAAAATCTGGATGAACTTTCTCGGCCAATGCAGGGATCGAACACCCGACCTCCAGGCTAGCGAGCTAGCGTCTTACCCACTTAGCCACGTGGGCGGGGATATAAACACAAGACAAAGATGATTTTATTAATTTACTCCCTTTGTGTATGCAGGGACAGACTGGGTAGCTCTATGGTCTCGGTCCAACAATGGCTCCCATCGTCATGAACATTACGTAACATGACGAGAAAACGAAACTAGATTGATTAATCTTCCCCGGAACCCAATCACAAATGATATTTCTTCCCGGAATTTGGCAATTATATTTTTAAGTGGATGCGAGGATGAATTTTAATTATTTCGAAATTAAATATGTCAAATTTATTTTTCAAGTGGGGGCGATGGGGCCCTGACACGTAGGCTACCGTTTAAAGCCCGCCTTCATTATCCCGTTTGGTACAGAAAGGTGGGACGTTAAACGCCATTTCATTTCATTTAAATTTAACTTAATATGAGATCTTGCACTACAAAACCAGTTACATGCATTCATTATTACAAGTTATGCAAGATTTACCCAAACCTACCAACCCTAGTAAATATTAAATCCCACACTGATCAGTAGTGAATATTCGCGAGGCCGCTACAATCAATGATAAGGGAGAGAGAGAAGGGGGGGGGGGGTAACGTCCACTCGACACAAACTAGGTCATTTCGGGACTAACATATAGTCCAATTTTATTTCAATAATTCGCTTGCGCGTAGGGGTCTTTTGAAGTGGGAGGAAAGAGGAGGACCCGGAGAAAACCCACGAGGTTGGACAGGCGACCCTACTCCTTGTCACGTACAACCGGGGATTCGAAACCACGCCAGTCGACTCAATGACAGACTTTATGATACAGCGCGCGCACGCTAACCATTCAGCCATGAGTAAAAGGCAGCATTCTGCCCGATTTAGTAACGTCTTATGTAAACAATGCACGCGCCATTGAGCCAATGATTGACGTCGCGTGATGTGACGTCACGTGTTTAAGGCGGTCATCATTTTCAGAGATATTAGAATACTTTCGTAATCCTCTGTGAAACAGATTGACTAAGTCCCTGGTGTATAATAGTGGCTGCTGGCATTTGTGATTGGAATATTTTAGAGTGAATTTAAAATGCCGTATCATGCTGTAGATCAATTTAAGCTGCGTTGTTTAAATAGGCCACGTGTCAAATAAAGATGACTCAAGAAATTAGCGCATTTACCGGTAATTTGGATAACCCCGTAATACTTGATATCACAAACTTAAGTACAGAAATACAAATGGTGCCAGTCATTTGTCGATATATTCATTATTAGCTATATATAATAATAATAACCATTTCTATGCATAAAGAACAACTACAGTGAATATGGAATTTTCCGATGACTATGCATAACATGTACAATAGATCGCACTCATTTCTCTGCCAATCAACGCTTGGTATCTTATTATTAGTACCGTTCCATGTACTACGGGTGTAGTAAATGAGGTTAAACTTCGTCGCGAAAACTGCACGGGATCATTCGTGGAGTTCCTGGTGACGTTTGGTGAGTGATTAAACTGTCAATGCAATTGTAAAATATATACTTTTATTATAAAGAAGATAACCGATGTTAGACATTATAACCTAATCGTATCAAAAACGTTAATCCATCCATCAATTAAATGTTGTTTAAACGCCAATCAACAAATAATACGAGGCTACTTGATAACAAAAACACCGGTGAGCAATAATTATTGGGTATATAGTAATTTTAAACAACTTATTAGTAAAACTTAATTATTTTATACAATAAATGTGTGTGTGTATGATTCTACCATTAGTTCGTTCGTGAGGTATTACGCACACGTTTCACTTAGAGTGATGTCTTTGATCTTCGCCGGCGTAAAAAAAGATAATTACCTAATCAACATTCTTAATCCCACTAACACTCACTGCTAACACCAACTTGAAATTAATTTATGACCCATGTCTGTATAACTTTGATAGTCGGATTGATTAATTAATGACAGATATGAACGACACTAAACTTTATGTGGAAAAGCGAAGTGCTCGCAGTAAAAACCACATAGCTGGACCCGTATATTATTTACATATTAAAAGTGTTCGTCCAATAAGTTCCATATTGTAAAAAATTAATTAAGAGTTCAGGACTTCAAAGTTTAAAAGTTGTAGGCACTCTAAATTGGATCTTAAATTAAAATGAATTACAAAAGAAACTATTCCGTAGTCAATTGTTTTATTTAATTAGGGGGATTAAGGAATCCTTCAGGCGTTAAAGAATACACACGCCGGCTGTACATAGGTAATTAAGGAATAAACATTCCGAATATGCATTCGGTCACTGTGACGTCACTGGTGTCTGAGGGGATTAAGAGTGTTTTCGATAATTGGCAAAGCCGTTTTTACGGGAGGTCTATTTTTACGACTTTGAGTGAAGATAACTGAATTAATTTCAACCAGATTGGCGTGAAATTGCCGTAAAGTGGATATAGTAACCATTGGCTACACGTATCTCAAATTTTCCGGGACCATCTTATGTGCACTTTAATCATGTGACGTGAAAGGTGATGCAATCGACAGGTTGAATCGGGCGAAGGATTCGGCTAGTGTGTCCACCCAATCGGCCGAATAAAATTCGGCGCCGATTGATTCGGCCGAATCATTCGGCTAGTGTGTCCACCGCTTAAGCGAAAAAAATAATCGGTCGCAAAAAAAATGCAGTCGGTCGTGAAATAAGTGCAGTCGATCACAAAATAAGTGCTCACTGAATTAATGAGGTAAACCAACCATGCCAAAATAGAAGGAAAAATCCCAAATACATGTATGTATAAAATAACCATGTCAACTTATCATGATTGAAAAAAATGTTTTTTACACTTATTCTGTTGTGAATATGTTCGTCTAAGAAATTTGCCCCACCCCACCCCCAGGGAAAAATATTCGGTCTCAAAATAAGTGCTCACTGCAGTCGGTCTCACACTAAATGAATTAATGCGGTAAATAAACCGTGCCAAATAGAAGGGAAAATTTTTGCGTGATTCCGTGCACCTACATTGCACCGGTGTAGTATAAAATAAACTAGTCCCGAGGGAAAAAAATAGTCGGTCTCAAAATAAGTGCTCACTGCAGTCGGTCTCAGACTAAATGAATTAATGCGGTAAACAAACAGTGCCAAAACAGAAGGGAAAATTTTTGTGTGAATCCGTGCACCTAAATTGCAACGGTATAGTATAAAATAACCTAGTCAACTTATGTTTGAAAAAAAAATTCCTGTAATGAGGTTGTTAATCTAAGAAATTGAGGGAGCTTGTTCCGAAGATTTTGATAATTTAAATTATATTATTGATTGTCATACGGATAACATTAGTCGGACAGTTGGTAAGAAGTTATCGGAAGCATAGTTTGTTTCAGAAATACACAAAAAATCTTTAAATTATAAAATTATGCATATTTAATCCCAGTAGAAATGAAAACGTATTTTACTCATGTAGCGTATTTTCTAATCATCAGAATTCTGTAAAGGCTTTCCCCAGATCCCGAAGTCCAGTAAATTACATTCCAGAGACCTAGTAATCGCCCCCGTTAGACAAAGTCCCTTCAGGCCCGGTCCCAAAACATTAAAAACTCAGTTACTAATATAATTTTTTTTTGTGGGGTGTTATAGTGGGTAGATCCCTAGATTTGGAACCGCCCCACCCCCACCCCCTATTCCCAGCTTCTAGATCAGCTACTGACCCATAGAAACTTTCACCTGTGGTGCCGCCCCCTGACTGTGTCACTCGTATTAGGGGCATGTGCATCAGCTACCCCCCCCCCCCCCCCCCACACACACACACACCAAACAAAAACTTTATGTACGCCTCCGGTTTTCTCATAGAAGAAATATAGTAAAGACTTTGGCGCTATAGATTCCCTAACAATATAATTTTATTGTGGAATTTGGATCACTGATTGGAACATCTGTCCAAAAATGGTTCTGTATTTACAAAGATATGACGAATTAAAAATTAAAAATTATGCTTCCTATGTAACAAGACGGCACGAATCATCATTCTCCACATAAGTCTCGCTAGGGAAGACACTCAGTTTGGGAGATTGTGTAATCGTATGTTGTTGATTGTTGTGTTTCTATATAACGTTTGACATTATCATACATGTATGTGCGATAAATTAGTGTGACAAAATATCTGCACAGGGTGTGACAATGACGGATTAGTATAGACGTCATTGGGATGTGACGATCATCGAACTGTATTATATACGATTCATGGTATGATATATTCTGGTATGCAATCACGTGACTCACTCCATCGCAAATTAATCAAAATGGACGCACGACACAGAGAACGGAGTCGAGTGAGTGAACCTGTTTATTTATTTATATGTAATAATAATGCTTATTATTGTATATATAATACTGTCCAATGTAAATGTTATAGGTTTTCTCATTCGCCTCGGCGGTTTAAACGGTGTTTATTTCGATTTGACAGAAATTAGAAATGGGATATAAGAATGAAAGACATAAAAATGAAAACGAAAATAGGTTTAAGTTAAACTTTAACGCACTCCTTTTCTGTAATGACTGGACTAAGTAATGATGGCGGGGATATAAACACAAGACAAAGATGATTTTATTAATTTACTCCCTTTGTGTATGCAGGGACAGACTGGGTAGCTCTATGGTCTCGGTCCAACAATGGCTCCCATCGTCATGAACATTACGTAACATGACGAGAAAACGAAACTAGATTGATTAATCTTCCCCGGAACCCAATCACAAATGATTTTTCTTCCCGGAATTTGGCAATTATATTTTTAAGTGGATGCGAGGATGAATTTTAATTATTTCGAAATTAAATATGTCAAATTTATTTTTCAAGTGGGGGCGATGGGGCCCTGACACGTAGGCTACCGTTTAAAGCCCGCCTTCATTATCCCGTTTGGTACAGAAAGGTGGGACGTTAAATGCCATTTCATTTCATTTAAACTTAATATGAGATCTTGCACTACAAAACCAGTTACGTGCATTCATTATTACAAGTTATGCAAGATTTACCCAAACCTACCAACCCTAGTAAATATTAAATCCCACACTGATCAGTAGTGAATATTCGCGAGGCCGCTACAATCAATGATAAGGGAGAGAGAGAGAGAGAAGGGGGGGGGGGGGTAACGTCCACTCGACACAAACTAGGTCATTTCGGGACTAACATATAGTCCAATTTTATTTCAATAATTCGCTTGCGCGTAGGGGTCTTTAGAAGTGGGAGGAAAGAGGAGGACCCGGAGAAAACCCACGAGGTTGGACAGGCGACCCTACTCCTTGTCACGTACAACCGGGGATTCGAAACCACGCCAGTCGACTCAATGACAGACTTTATGATACAGCGCGCGCACGCTAACCATTCAGCCATGAGTAAAAGGCAGCATTCTGCCCGATTTAGTAACGTCTTATGTAAACAATGCACGCGCCATTGAGCCAATGATTGACGTCGCGTGATGTGACGTCACGTGTTTAAGGCGGTCATCATTTTCAGAGATATTAGAATACTTTCGTAATCCTCTGTGAAACAGATTGACTAAGTCCCTGGTGTATAATAGTGGCTGCTGGCAGTGGTCATGTGAAATCTCGCCCCTTTTCATAACCCAATAAGATAACATCACGACAGTATTAACGCAGTCATACGACACTTTATTCTGTCGTAACATCGTGTTATTGTTGACCTGGTCTCCTATTAGACCAGAAGCCCAGGGGGTCAACCTAGCTGAAAAGTGTACCAATTTTCTCCCATATGGTATCTATGCATGTATATCTGGTATCATCAGAATATAAGTCTGTCGGGTTTCTGGTAGTGGATGTGGTATTCCACGCCCAAAATGCAATGCCCCCCAACTAGGCTAGATTAGCTCAAGAGTGTACCACATGCAAATCGTACAGCAGTGTATCGTACATCTTCAGGTATTACAAAAACACTCTTGACAGACATTTCTAGTGGTGGAGTATCCCTGACAAGAGTTCTCTAATTTCCAGACCACAACTAGGCTAGATTAGCTGAAATCTGTACCACCTAAAACAGCTTTGGAGTTGTTCAGTACCACCACAGGAATCATGAATGTCCACTGTTAGACAGTTTGTGCGGTGGGTTACCCCTAACAGACACGTTCCAAAATACCACGCCTCCAACTAGACTAGATTAGCGGGCACTGTTCCCGTGTTTTTTAAAAAAATAAATTTTTAGCCAGGATGCGTAGAATACTAATACCTAGCACGTATGTCCAGTTTGATTCAAGAGTTTTTCCCATTGTCTCAGGTATCAGCTGTTCCGCAAAAGCTGCGCTTGATACGTGGCAGAAGACCTTGGCTGGTTGGTGTTAGGTTTCGATGAGAACTTCCTTTGACATGATGGAAGAATTCGACCTGCAAGTCCCAAAAATATTCGGATCGCTTTTTGGTTTCATCACTGCAGTAAAGTAGGCTTCTGCATTCCTAATCAAAGCTCCGGAGGTGTCGGCAATCTTCCAAAGTGCTTTGAAAACGTCTCTGGCATGGCCATTTAATCCAAATTTTGCTGGTTATATCACATCCTGTTAGACTGTGGCCAGCCGGAAGAACAGCACAGAGTTTGCATCCGATGCACTGGAACCGGGTATGAAGGGCACATCGAGTGCTATTTACAACTCCAACTCTCACCCACATAGCTCCTCGAGGTCCTTGTGCTTTAGAAAGTCTGTTACATCAGTATCATTACAAATGACAACGCATCCTCTGTTCCATCCTTGACCGCACCTAATACATGAAGGAGTATGCGCAGATCCGCGTATTCAAATGGTTATAACCTAAAGATCTCCGTTCCTTTCGATATTCGCGCATATCGGATTGTACGAAAAATCACGATTTTAGCTTGTGATTTAGAGGTCATAGTTTTTATCTGATTTAAAAAAAAACGTTCAAATATATCACCATTACACCATAATGATGTTACTGACGACAAAATGGCCGTTCCTCATACGCAAATAGTGTAAAAGTATGGTATATCAAGGTTGTGGACCCTCTAGAGGTCACAATTTGATCTGATTTTATAGAAACTTTTAATTTATGTTTATAGCACAAAATATCACGATATTTCCGCATGTCGGTCAGTAACTTTCTGGCTTATGGCCCCTGATTGTACGAAAAAATCGCGATTTTAGCTTGTGGACCCTCGAGAGGTCATAAGTTTTATTCAATTTTAAAAACCGTTTAAATATATAACCGTTACACCTTAATGATTAAAGAATTCGAATTTCGTGAAAATCCGACCGAAACTGTCCGATAAAATGGCCGCTCCTTGTACGCAAATAGTGTAAAAGTATATAATACGAAGGTTGTGACCCCTTTAGTTAGATAAGATAAGATTTTATTGCATCGAAACATCCATTTAGGACAGCATATAATATAAACGTGTACATAAAAATTATAACGATATGACAATTATTACACAAGACACACAATATTGCATCGGAACCTCCCTTGAGGACAACATACAATATACAAAATATACAGGTGCAAAAAAATGGACGGACACAAAAATATGGACGGACATAAATTTAGAACACTCATAAATAAACAGTATGAAACCTGCATATGGAACAAAATGTACAAAGTATTAAATCACATAACTCGACAGTATAAGACCCACATACAGGGTACATAATATATCAAAATACAAAACAAAGCGTGCGCACATAAAAGAAAATAAAATATCATGCATATTGAACAGATGTCTCTCCTAAGAAAAGAGAAGTAGACAAAGGCTGCGACACTTGTGGCTATAATACTCGGTGGGTCGAATAGGTTTTCAAATGAAAAGGTTAGACCAGTATTGTCAAGAGTTTGATATATATATTGTTTTCTTAAATCTTCATAATTTTGGCATTCCATAAGAAAATGTTGTTCAGATTCAATTTTGCCTGCATTGCATTTTTTACAGAAGTGATCCTGGAGTGGTATCTCAAGATATCTACCCCTTTCAATGGCAAGCTGGTGAGTACTTAATCGTAGGGTAGACATTGCAATTTTGAACTTCTTATTATTAACAACCTCTAGATATTTTGGAGTGTTATTGAATTTCTTCTTGAATAATCCGAAGGTTCTGAGTTTATGGTTCGGCCCGCAAGATTCAGCAAGGAGATCGTTAAACTTACTTTCTATTGAACTTTTAATATTCTGTCTCGAAATTGTTGTTGGAGGAATGTCATATTTTTTGAAGATATTTTGGATAGCCGCATACCAGGAGAGTTTTGGGTTTGATTGCGAAATTTTTATGTCTTCTTTGTATGCAGAATTCAGTAATGAGTTACTTAAGTTATTGCTATTTTCGTTTAGTCTTTTATAGTACATAGCCATTCTTTGGAATATATCGATATTAACAGGAAAAATTCCTAATTCGGCCAAGCAGCCTATATTTGATGATTTTAATGGCTGTGTAAGAATAGATTTACATATTTTAATGGTCATTTTATTCGTATTTATTTTATCCCAATTTTCTATCTCAAAGTTCTTACTGAACACTAAATTATCCCCCCAAACCTCTGAACCATATAAAGCTATTTGTTTCACGACTGATTCATAAAGTTTTATCAGAACATGTGTTGGAAGGCGATTAGATGTACAGACTTTATGTCTTAAGCCCAACCAGGCTCTCCTAGCCTTCTTTTCCAAATTCACAATAGCTGATTTAAAAGATCCGTTATCATTTATGAAAATGCCTAGGTAAAGATAAGATTTTACAATATCTAAATTGACGTGGCCAAAGACAAATTTTTTTGTTGTTTTTTTCTTATTGTTTTTAAAGATCATAACTTTGCTTTTATCTTTATTGAGGTCAAGTTTCCAGTCATCACAGAAACGTTTTAGATTATCAAGGTTGTTCTGTAATCCTATTTCGGTAGCTGACATCAGCACAAGATCGTCAGCAAAGAGCAGATGGGATAGACCAGTAGTATTTAATATAGGATAATTATCACTGTCTGTAGAATTGTCTAAGTATTGGTTTAAATCATTGATGTAAATATTAAAAAATGTAGGACTTAAAACACATCCTTGCTTAACTCCCATGGTAGAATCAATATTATATGAAATGGAGTCGTTGTGTTTTACCACATAGGATGTATTTTTATACATAGATTTAATCAATTCAAATATTTTCCCATTAATGTCATGTTTCAATAATTTAAGGAGACCTTTGCGCCAAACTGAATCAAATGCTTTTGAGAAATCGACAAAGCATAAATATAGAGGTTTCTTAAGTTTCTTGTATTTGTTGATTAAAGTCTGTTAATGGTGTGAATCAATGGGGTCGTGAGAACCGAGAACCCACGCAATATTCAGCACCCTGAACACTTAAGGAATTTCATGAAAGAGCAAGTTTTCCTTCTGAACAGGAGGCTGGTCGATGGGTTTTTTTTTTATTGAGACAAGGACGCCTTGTTGGTGTAATTCCGCGCTTTTTATGGCTATCTTATATTTATTTACAGGGCTCTGCCAGATTGGTTATGGGCCCAGTGTGATAATTGTTTAAAATGGCGACGTTTACCAGATGGTATTAACAGACAGTTACCAGCTAAATGGTATTGTAATATGAACGCTGATGCCTCACACAAGTAAGGATTGGCTATTAAACTTAATGTATCTCTTATGAAATGAAATGGGGATTAACGTCCTACTGTTCTGCCCCAACTGGACTATTGATGACAGGCTTCTGCCTTACAGGATGCTTTTAGGGACATGTGGCCTAGACAATAGCGCTACACCCTACTCTTATAAATATCAAATTCCAACTATCAAGGCGTCTTTTACGTGTACGCTAATGTGTTTAATGCCCTGCTCTTCTGCAACAACCCGGATAATAAAGACTGGTCATGTTATTATTACTACTGTCAATACTCTGATAACAAATGGTTGTTTATGAATAGACGATGAAAAGTAGTTCGATCAATGATTGTCATAGTATGTCTGTATAGCAGTATTCAGTGCCAGATTAGGGATCTACTGGCCTTATAAAAGCACGTGTAGCTTGAAAATACCAAATTCATACAAAACGTCACTTGTGTAAAGGACAAAACGTTCAGTCAAGCTGGCTCAACCAGTTGTCGTTCAACACAGAGTATGAAAAGACTTAAAGGAGCTAAATCGCTAACATTTGGGACCCAGAAATTGACAAAAGTGGGTCGCAACGCATATAATACTGTAATATGAATGTATATAAACTGATTTACATTCAATGGTTTCCGTTTTTACTCCAATTTCAAATCAGTTATGTTCGGCGAAATAAGCCAGCAGTCTCAATTTCTTGCGTCTGGTTATTCCAGTCTACATAAGCCGTTTGATTTGGTGCAATGTGTCTAGCCGCGTCCCTCGAGTCTCTTGATACAACTGGGGCTGGAGCGCATTATGGTACACGATTCGTGTACCAATGGTAAAATGTTTATTTTGTCTTAAATATTGGATATCAAAAGCCCATCTTTTCCCGGTAAGATCACAACATGAATGTTGATTTAATTTGACAAATAAATCGTGTTTTCAATGTTGAAGATTTTGGATGATATTGAGTTAGAGACTTAGCTACTTTAAGGACAAGCGCGTAGTTGAAGAAGTTTGACATTAACATAATTTTTTATGGCTTGGATTTTTGGCTGGCCCTATATAGGCACATGCCTTATTTGACTAATGGTTAATCCGGCACTGACAGTACTGATTGTTTGTTTATTTAAGTGAATTAACAGTTTCTCTCATAATGTCACATCGGGCGCGTTAATTTTTAATTCTACTAGAAAGTACTTGAGCCCCGCCATGGTTAGAAATAGTTTTTTCTCTCTTAGTTGTTTTTATGGTCGCATTCTTTCAGTCGATGTGATATTGATGAAGAACTTGAAAGTGAAGATGAGTATATACGACCTAATCAAAAAACATTTAAACAAGAAAAGTAAGTATTTTATAAGCCCACATTTTCACCATGATAACGTTTTAGTTTTAATTTTGTGAAAATCTGACCGAAACTGTCCGACAAAATGGCCGCTCCCAGTAGGCAAATGGTGTATTATCTCGGTTATGGTCACAATTTTTATCCGATTATGAAAATCGTTTAAATATATCATCATTAAACCTTTATAATGTTTGAGTTTCGTAAAAATTGGACTAAAACTGTCACCTGGTTGTACGAAAAAATCACGTTTTTCTTTAGCTTTTTCTCTATCCATCTTACAAAATGTGGCAACCGCTCGTCAATAAATGATACACAATAGCTCTGTGGAAAACAGTTACTGTATTTCTATTTAGAGCTACAAATGATTCTCTAACTGTAACTTGTATAGAAACGTAATTGTTTTCTGTTAGACACTTTTGATTAATTTAATCCGTTTAAATACTAAATGTGGTCGTATATTGCCATCGCCTCCGCCCGTCCGTCCGTCGGTCGTCGTCCTCACATTCTTGTGAACACTCTATAGACTACATTTATCATTTGATTGTTTTGAAATTGATATGTTGTTTATATTACGTAGATGAAGTCTATTTAATTGCAATAATTTCTGTTAATTTCTTCTGGAGGTATATTAACCTCGTTTCACTTTATTGCACCATGTGAACACCCTAACACATACATTATCATCCGATCCGATCTGTATGAAATTTATGTGCATCCTTTAGATTAGTTGAATTTCAGCAATTTTCGTCTAGAGTTATGACCCTTGTATCACTTTGTCGAACCATGTGAACTCTCTTACGACAAAAGTTATCATCTGATCTGTATGAAATTTATATGCATTATTTAGATTAGCGAAACAAGGAAGCCTATTCAATTTCAGCAATTACCGTTATGGCTCTTGTTTCACGTTGTTGAACCTGGTGAAGGTTCGGCTAACTACAAAATTTATCACCCAGTCTGTATGAAATTGATACACATTATTTAGATTAGTGTAACGAAGGAACCTACTGAATTTCAGCAATTCCCGTTAATTACGTCTAGAATTATATGCATTATTTGAGTAAGTGCAACGAAAATACCTATTGAATTTCACCAATTTCCGTTAATTACGTCTAGAGTTATAGCCCTTGTTCCACTTTGTTTCACTTGGTGAATGCTCTAACGACGGAAATTATCATTCGATCTGTATGAATTTTATCTGTATCATTTGAGTTAGTGAAACGGAAACGTCTATTGAATTTCAGCAATTTCCGTTAATTGCCTCTAGAGTTATTGATCCTTGTTTTAATTTGTTGAACATTGGAACATTCGAGCGACAAAAGTCATAATCCGATCTGTATAAAATTTGTGTGTATTATTTAAATCAGTAAAATGAAAGAGGCTTTCGAATTTCAATATTTTGTATAGGCCCTTGTTTCAGTTTGTAGCATCTTGTGAACCCTCAAAGGATGAAAATTATGATCTGATCTGTTTGAAAGTGTCTTGAAAATTCCCCTCATTACATACAAAATATGCGACAACCATTGTTGACTGCCCGGACGAATTAGCTGCCGTGGTCATATGTTTCGTTGCCCGGCAACCTATCTTATGTTTTCTCATACATATGTGAAATATTCTACATTGTATTCGGGTAAAAATGGAGGTAACTGAAATGGAGCTTGATTATTTCAACTTATTTTGGGAAAATGATCCCATTTTCTGGATTTGTATTTTTTAGGGAAGTACAAAAACGAAAATCAAAGGTAGAAGAGGTAGGTTATATTTAACTGTACGTCACACTTCTAACAGCCGATTATCGGAGAATATGATAAAGTCTAGATGTAAATCTTTCAACTGAATTATTTATCTTCCTGTTTGATTTCTAAAGGAACTGGCGAAAGAAACATTAAAAGCAAGAGAAGAAAAGCTGCGATATCACCTCGGTGGAAGCGGACGTAAAATACAACTAACCCATCATCATCAGCTGCAAGAAATGTATACTGCGGTACGTTGGTATTTATTATATCAGGGGCGGACCCAGAGGGGGTTGGGTCCAAACCCCACCCTCCTCAGCTATTATCGGAGAATATGATAAAGTCTAGATGTAAATCTTTCAACTGAATTATTTATCTTCCTGTTTGATTTCTAAAGGAACTGGCGAAAGAAGCATTAAAAGCAAGAGAAGAAAAGCTGCAAGAAATGTATACTGCGGTACGTTGGTATTTATTATATCAGGGGCGGACCCAGAGGGGGGTGGGTCCAAACCCCACCCTCCTCAGCTATATTTAAAAAAGATTGTAAAACAACACTTTATGAGAAAAGTCTAACGGTCGTGTTCTTTTATACTTTACCATCAGATGATGGGTTGGGATTGACATTCAAAGCACGAAATAATGATATAGACATGTGTGATATCACAATTAATGCTTTGCATCAATGAAATTGAATCACAATGTGATCCTATTAATTCATGATAAAAATGGATGTCAAACGGGGTGTTGGATTACCCAGAGACGTAACTTTGACGGCATCATGCATTGTAAACTGTCAAATTTCTTAACAGGAGCCTGGCAGACCCCCTCCTGCAAAAATTCCTGGATTCGCCCCCTATATACGTCCGTCGGTCGTCCACAATCTAGAGATTAAAGTGACTTTAAATTCAAAACAAAGTGTGTAAGGTCTGATTTTCAAAGATTTCTGATAACTTGAACAACTGAATTCAAGATATTAAATGGTTTGTATACTAAAGTTTGCATGGGGTAAAACTAGAAGCCAGACAAATTCTTATGATTTCTGATTATTACTTAATGGGTTGTTAGTAACAACAAGTCACTTGTTACTCTAAATCAGATTTTAGTTTGTTGTAAGTGTTTTCATTACCGACAATGGGTTGCTACTCTTAATCAGATTTTAGATGTTTTCATTTCCCACGTTAGAAAGAGGTTATATGCGAAATCTCTGTTGGGTGGTGGGGGGGGGATTTTCGTTAATATCAATTAACCCACCCACCTCCTCGGTCCCCACTGTGGAGCCTTTCAGGGCAGCAATAAATAAAACATTTAAGGAGACCCCAAAACAGTTCACTTTCTCAGATTATCTCATATTATTCTAATCCTTAATGAAACAATTTGTCGCGAAATGCAAAGATATACATTTCAGAGTTAAGTAGATCGGTTGCCTTTTATGAGTTGCCGATTAACCCGAAGGGCAGTAGTTTAGGTTTTCAGTTTGTCGGTCTGGCATTTTGATATATTTTTTCATAAAATGTATCTCTCTTTATGAAAGGTTGTATCTTCACAAGACACAGAAAAACGGGAAAGGGAACTATTGCAAAAGAAATTAGAAGAAACTGAAAGGAAATTAGCACTAGCTGACTTGAAATTTCCTATAAACCTAATACCAAAATTGCCAATGGTAAGGAAAACGGTGCTTAGAGCAATACAATGTGTAACGTCATTTTTGGGGGCCAGCATATATACAATTTTATTTCAATAATTCGCTTGTGTGTAGGGGTCCTTAGAAATAGAAGTAAAACATGGACAGGCCACCCTAAAGTGCAAGTGTTAGACCACTCGACAACCCAACCCCTTAGACTCGCTTTCCATTCAGGAACGTTGCTGAATTTCCGTGCATGCTTTTTAGGTTTCCGTGCACGATTTTTATGTTGATGTACTGAAACTCGCTGAAAATTTTGGGGAATTCCTTAAATGACGACGTAAGTCTGGATTTGCCCTAACAGCCTGAAGGGTGACATTATTGTCGTCCAATTGCTGCCTTTTTACAAGCCAACATTTTCATGTGGACGTATAATGTTGTCGCCCCTGTCCGTCCACAATTTGTTTGTAGACATTCTACAGGTCACAATTTTTATCCATACATTATGCAAGAGCTAAATATGCCAATTGCAGGTCTTTCTTTAGGCCTGAAATGTTATCTAAATTATTAATTAGACATTAATTAACTTATCAAAACCATAATCAACTTTCTATGGCATCGCTAGCCTGCGATATTTACGGGATTAGAACCCGGTCTGCTGCTGCTGATTAAATCAACAAGCGGCTGCCAGGCAGGATACGCCCACATTTTCGAGAGATGGATAGAGAACAAGCTAAAACGAAAGTGATTTTTCCTACAATCAAAGGCCATAATTCAGGAAATTACAATTCGATATGCGCAAATATCGAAAGGAACCGAGATCTTTGGGTTATAAACTTACATTTCAAGTTTCAACAAAATCAGATAAAAATTGTGACCTCTATAGGGTCCACAACCTTGATATACCATATTTTTACGCTATTTGAGAATGAGGGGTGGCCATTTTGTCTGTCAGTTTTGGGCCGATTTTCACGAAATTCAAACTCAGCCGTCCTTAGGGTGTAACGGTGATATAATAATACGGTTTTTTAAAGCGAGAATTTCATAATTATTTTTATGTCTTTTGCCCAATAGGTTATCAACTCACTATTATACGACCATGGGCATTATTTCACACCCTTAAAAATCATTGACAGAGGAAATAATAACACAATTACCTCCCTTGTTTTCCTATTGCCTCCATGCATTAGCTACCTTCAAACGTTGGAATTTGAAGTTGAAAATGATATTTTTGCCAATTTCTCAGCTGGCAAAAGTGACTTATAGGATTAATAGGATTATTCTTTAACAAGGTAGGACGGTTTATGGATACCATCTATTTTAAGGCTTTATTTTAATAAATTTTAAAAATATAACTTAAAAATATGAAATTACAGCTTTAAATCGGATAAAAATTATGACCTCTATAGGGTTCACAAGCTAAAAACGTGATTTTTCGAACAATCAGGGGCCATAATTCAGGAAATTACGTTCCGATATGCACAAATATTGAAAGGAAGCGAGATCTATGGGTTATAAGCATACATTTCAAGTTTAAACCAAATCGGATAAAAATTGTGACCTCAACAGTGTTCACAAGCTAAAAACGTGATTTTTCGTACAATCAGGGGCCATAATCCATGAAGTTACAGTCCGATAGATGCCAATATCGAAAGGAACCGAGATCTTAGGGTGATAAACCTATATTTCAAGTTTCATTGAAATTGGATAAAAATTGTGACCTGTAGACTGTTCACAAACAATTGTGGACGGAGGTCCAGACTGACAGACAGGGGCGACGACAATATACGTCCACATGGAAATGTGGGTGTATAAAAAATGGATAATCGAGACTATGTTTTTATCCTACCTACTTTAGAAATGGTGATCGAGGCTAGGTCCAAAATTCAATCGCTTAATTCTCGGTTCAGGGTGGATCGATTTGACTGAAATTTTCAGCAAATTGCCTTTACATTATCTAGTTTCTCTTTATCTAATCTCCCATAATGTATCTTTAATTGAAGTATAGGTTTATCACCTAAAGATCTCATAACTTCATGGATTATGGGCACTAATTGTACGAAATATCACTTGTGGATATTTAGAGGTCACAATTATTATCCGATTTTGATGAAACTTGAAATGTATGTATTATCCAACTTCCAGGGTCCTGTTTCTCAAAATCTTAACTAAAGATAAAATCCAAAATTTAGTAGATACTTCAATTTTGATTGGCTAAGCACTAAAATCAACCTAATATTATCCAATCAAATTGCTAAAATTTGGATTCTATCTTAGTTAAAATTTCGTGAAACAGCCCCCTGGATTGTAGGAAAATTCACAATTTGTATCCGATTTAAATCACCGATCGAATATATTAATAATTAGCGTTACACCATAATAACGATTGAGTTCAAATTTCGTGAAAATCGGACCGAAACTGCCTGACAAAATGGCTGCTCCTTGTACGCAAATAGTGTAAAAGTATGTAATCAAAGTTGTGGAGCCTCTAGAAGTCGCAATAACTTTTATCCGATTTTGATAAAACTTGACATGTATGCTTATAACCCGATATTCGCGCTTCCTGTCGATATTCGTACATATCGGACCGTAACTTCATGGACTATTAACCCTGATTGTACAGAAAAATCACATTTGTTTTAGCTCGTTCTCTGTCCATATCTTGTAAGAAACATCCGGCTGAACAGTGATACGCATGCGAAACAGTTGATCATCGAGCAGCTTGTGTTTCTATGCGCATTTCGCGCTCGTAGAAACACTTACATGGAAACAGTCACATAACATTTGCATAAGACCCACATTTTCGCCGTCGAAAAAGCATACATGGAAAGCGAGACTAAGTCTGAACGGTTAAAGCGCAGAAAATTTAAATGAATATGGAATAGCGGCAATCAGTGTTCGGGAATATGATCCCGATTGTAAATAAAGAAGTAGAAGTGATTTTTTTTCAGGTTGTAAATAAGACAACAGCTAGTAATAGTCCTGCGGAGAAATCAACACCTTCATCAAAAGGGTATCTACTTTTATTTATTACTGTCTGAAAAATCTAGTTTAAAGGAGGAACGTAACACAAGGCCAATATAGCCTCTCCGTTCACAATTTAGTTGCGAACAGTCTACAGGTCACAATTTTTATCCGATTTTGACGAAACTTCAAATATTGGTTTATCTCTCGCAGATCTCGGTTCCTTTCGATATGAGCATGTATCGGGGTGTAAATTCATGAATTATGGCCCCTGATTGTACGAAAAATCACGAGTTATTGCTTGTGGACACTCCAGAAGTCACATTTTTTTGTATTTGATTTGAATGAAACTTAAAATATATGTTTATAACCCAAAAATATCTCGGTTCTTGTCGATATTCGCGCATATCGGACTGTCACTTCCTGGATTATTGTCCCTGATTGTACGAAAAATCGCGTTTTTACCTTATGGTCCCGCTAGAGGTCAGTCTAAAAGTATGTAATACCAAGGTCACAATTTTCATCCGATTTTGGTGAAACTTAAAAGGCCAATATAGCCTCTCCGTTCACAATGTAGTTGCGAACAGTCTACAGGTCACAATTTTTATCCGATTTTGACGAAACTTCAAATATTGGTTTATCTCTCGCAGATCTCGGTTCCTTTCGATATTAGCATGTATCGGGGCGTAAATTCATGAATTATGGCCCCTGATTGTACGAAAAATCACGAGTTATTGCTTGTGGACACTCCAGAAGTCACATTTTTTTGTATTTGATTTGAATGAAACTTAAAATATATGTTTATAACCCAAAAATATCTCAGTTCTTGTCGATATTCGTGCATATCGGACTGTCACTTCCTGGATTATTGTCCCTGATTGTACGAAAAATCGCGTTTTTACCTTATGGTCCCTCTAGAGGTCACAATCTGTACCCAATTTTAGAAACCGTGCAAATATATCACTGTTAACCCTAATGACGATTGAGTTTGAATTTCGTGAAATTTAGTCTAAAAGTATGTAATACCAAGGTCACAATTTTCATCCGATTTCGGTGAAACTTAAAATGTATGTTTATATCCCAAAGATTTCTGCCCCTTTCGATAATCGCACATGTTTTATGGCCCCTGATTGTACGAAAAAATAAGGTTTTTATACGCTAACATGTTCAAGTGAACGCATATTGCGGTCGCCCCTGTCCGTCCGAAATATGTATTTTAGTTTTACAATTTGCAACTTCCATTGCTCCACAATACCAATGAAGAAGTGTAATGTGCAAAATAACTATTATACTGTATTGTGTATTATTGAAAACTGTATTCTGTATATTAACACTGTGACATTGGTATTGTGGAGCAATGGAAATTGCAAATTTTAAAAGTAAAATACGTATTTAGAACTGCTGACATACGCATTTTGCACCGTGGACATTGAGCGCCATGGAAAACGCATCACTTAGTTTTTCGTATAACAAAATGATCCTGTAAACATTTCTTATTTATTTTGCTTCTTATTGTGAACAATATTCAAATAGGAACACATCAATAACAACACATTTGGATGTTTAATCTGTAATCAACGGTACAAAGTCAGAGGGGTCAAAACCAAAAGTACGACACAGTTGTCAGTAGCGCGTGTGTCCTCCACGGGCTCTTACGCACGCTGTGCAGTGACGTCCCATGGAATTGACCTATGTTTGAAAGAAGGCCTGGGGATATTGTTCCATTCTTGGACAAGAGCAGCTTCTAAAGCAGCAATGTTGTGCATCTGTGGTCTCAGATACAGATGGCGTTCTCTCGGTGCCATGTCCGGAGACATGGCTGGCCAGTCCAAGACATTGATGTTGTTAGCAGCCAGGCAGTCCATACTAAAACGGGCGGTATGCGGACGTGCGTTATCCTGTTGGAAGTGCTAAAGTTGTGGGTGCGCTCGAAACATCGGAACAACAATTGGTTGCAAGACATCATCACGGTAGGCTACAGCATTAACGCAACCCCTGCAACTGTGTAGGGCGGTCCGGTGATGAAATGTGAAGCCTCCCCACACCATTACACTTCCCCCACCCCATCGATTCGTTTCGAAGACGTCTCCACACACGTTGACGGCCATCAGCGTGATAAAGCTGAAAGCGACTCTCATCACTGAAGAGCACACTTTGCTAGTCTACTCTTCTCCATATCTGGTGCCCTTGAGCCCATATCAAACGCCGCTGATCCCTGAGGATAGCTCCAACATAAGGTTGTCGTGCACGGAGTCCTACTTCTCTTAGACGACGTCTTACGGTGTTGGCACTTACTGGTCCTTGTCTTCCGACGATTGCTGCACCTGTTCGAGTAGCTGGGCGGAATGTATCACGCAGATGAGTGACCCGGATGTAGCGATCTTGAGCCTGGGTTGTAACGTGTTGTGGACCAGGACGTTGACGGTCACGTGTTGATCCAGTAACTCGAACACGTTCCACCAACCTTACAATAGTGGACTGATGACAATTGAAGTGTTTGGCAATAGCACGTGTAGACATGCCAGCCCTGGACATTCCCATGGCTTCATTCCGTTGATTTTCAGTAAGTCTCGGCATCTCTAGCTCGATTCCTTCACACGTCCAACAACGAATTACGACAGATTGACGTTTCACAGTTCATGTACTGCACATTAAGTTGAAAACATGCTTTTAAAGGGCTCACACACAATGCTGTACGTGAATATTGGGTTTTTCATGTGCATCTCGTGCAATTTTTTTTTTTGCACACAGGCCGATATTTTTTGCGTTTGGGAGCATTGTGTGAAACAATAGTTCATAGTATTGCATAATATTATACATACAAAACCCCCTAGTAATAAAATATTAGGGGGAAAAAAGTGATGCATTTTCCATGGCGCTCAGTATATAACCATCTTTATGAACCTGGGGCCTGTTTCACGAAGTTTTAACTAAGATAAAATCCAAATTTTAGTAATTTGATTGGATAATATTAGATTGATTTTAGTGCTTAGCCAATCAAAATTGAAGTATCTACTAAAATATCTACTTGAAATATACACTAGGAATGATTCATTTAACTACGTGTTTTTCGTTAAAATATGTATTTCGTTAAAAAAAATAGTTTTAATCTTAGACCCTATTATGGGTTCATGTCCATGGAATAAATTCAATGAAGAAAGGGGAGATTAAAATATATGCTAACTCGTCAAAAGAGAAATATTGTGATGCTTTGACAACCATAACTAATACCCCACTCACTACACTGTAGGATAAAGCTTCCATTATAATTCTCAGTGGTGTAGAACGGGGGAATTGGCAAGGGACAACGTATAGTCGTTCGGATGAGACGAAAAAACGATGTCCCGTGTACACATTGGTGTACACAGGGGCGTAAATGGGAGGTGGGGGATACGAATAGCGAAAAAAATAGTCGGTTGCAAAATAAATGCAGTCGGTCGCAAAATAAATGCAGTCGGTCGCAAAATAAGTGCTCACTCAATTAATGAGGTAAACAAAAAATGCCAAAATAGAAGAAAAAATCCCAAAAATGTATTTGCGTGAATCCGTGCACCTAAATTGCATACGTCAACTTGTCATGTTTGAAAAAATGTTTTTCACCCTTATTCTGTTGTGAGTATGTTGGTCTAAAAATAAGTGCTCACATGCAGTCGGTCTCAGACTAAATGAATTAATGCGGTAAACAAACAATGCCAAACAGAAGGGAAAAATTTTGTGTGAATCCGTGCACCTAAATTGCAACGTATAGTATAAAATAACCTAGTCAACTTGTCATGTTTGAAAAAAAAATCCCTGTTATGAGTATGTTGGTCTAAGAAATTGAGAGAGCTTGTTACGAAGATTTTGATAATTTAAATTATATTATTGATTATCATTCGAACAACATTAGTCGAACAGTTGGTAAGAAGTTCTGGGAAGCATAGTATGTTTCAAAAATACGTGAAAAATCTTTAAATTATGAAATGTTAAGGCGATCTTTTGAACTTAAGAATTTTTACTTGTTGCATATTTAATCCCAGTAGAAATTAAAACGTATTTTACTCATGTAAAGTATTTTCTGACAATCAGTCCAGTAAATGGCATTTCAGAGACCAAGTAAGCGCCCCCGTGAGACAGAGACAAAGTCCCCTCAGGCCCGGTCCCAAAATATTAAAAGCTCAGTTACATAATTTAAATTTTTTTGCGACGACGGCGCTCAATTCTATTATATCATCATTTTTCAACTGGTCTATCTTATACTATCTCATCGCTATCATATTCACGGTTATAGTGAATCGCCCAGTTAGTAGTACCACTAGTGAGAGGGGCGACTGACTGTATAATTGTTATTTCTACAGTCGAAATTGACGGACAGACCTCAAGATTCTGTTCCATTTCTTATCCCCTCGTTAACCAGAATTTGGTCCCATTTGTCGTGACACTGACTAAAATTTTCAGGCCCAGTCCCAAAAAATTAAAAGGTCTGTTACATATCTGAAATCTTTCACGCCTGCACTGCTAAATTCCATTATGACATCATTCTTCCACTCCTCCGTTGACAGTACATATTCACGGTTATAGTGAACTGCCCAGTTAGAAGTACCACTGGTGTGTAGGTCGCGGGGCGTCAGACTGTACAAATGTACTGTCAACTCTTGCAAAACAGGCAGAATGGACAGGGGCAGATTTCAAGATTCTGTGCCATTAACTCCTATTTTTGGTTATCTTGTTCACAAGAATTTGCTCCCAGCAATGACCTCAAATGTCAGGATATTGATTCAATTTTTCAAAATGTTCTCAGGTTGCTCAGTGTTATAGCCACTGCCCCAAAGGTTCACATAAATTTAATAACAAAATCAGTAACACTCATCATATTATATGACATGAACTTTATGTCAACTTAAATAAAACTGCTTTCCAGCGAGATAACGATCCGCGAACATCTATATGGGCTATATGATCTATGTCCGACCGGGACACTCAATGTTATAGCCAGTATTTTGTTGACATTAATTGTGGGGTGTGATTGTGGATGGCGCCCTATTATAGATTTGAAACCGTCCAACCCTCACCCCCTATTCCCAGCTTCTAGATAGGCTACTGGCCCCTAGAAAACTATCACCTGTGGTGCTCGGTCCCTGACTGCGTCACTCGTATTTGGGGCATGTGCATCAATCGGTTGCATTTTTGTTACACCCCCCCCCCCCCCAAAAAAAAAAACCCAAAAACAAAAACCAAACAAAATCTTTTTGTACGCAACTGGGTGTGCATGAAAAAGAAGCCTTCTTAACAGTTGGAATTCGAAATAAGAGTAGGCCATAGCTCCGCTGTCTGGACATGGCGTATGCCAGTCTTCATTAGCGAAGTAGGAAAAGTACATTTCATTCTATTTCTATCATAAGCCATACAAAACATTTCTATACTGGGTAATAAAACGAAAATGTTTTGGTTTTTTTGTTACAGGCATTCGGAAGCCAATAAAAGAAAGGTCGGAGAGATTAGCACGGAGATAATAAGTAAACGTATATGTAAGAGTAAGAACGAACCGAATAGCATCGATAAAGTCTTAGCGGAAAATGACGAGGCACTTGAAGGCTGTTCTAGCACACCTAATAAGAAAGGAAACGCTCCGTCCCTTTCTGCTGAAGTGCTTAGATTGAAGACCAAGTTACAAAGAACAGAAGCAAAGCTTAAAGACACCTATATTACGCTAGAAAATACAAACAAAAAATTAGAAGATTCCGAGCAGAAGTTAGTGCAACAAGAGCTAAGCCTAAAAAGCTTTGAAAATAAAATGAAATATTCAGAGACGAAACTTCAACCTGCCGAAGACTCATTAAGAATGTCAGAAACAATAGCAAAGAACCGTAGGCTGGAATTTGCAGATGCACAGAAAAAGTTAGTGCAACAAGAGCTAAGCCTAAAAAGCTTTGAAAATAAAATGAAATATTCAGAGACGAAACTTCAAACTGCCGAAGACTCATTAAGAATGTCAGAAACAATAGCAAAGAACCGTGAGCTGGAATTTGCAGATGCACAGAAAAAGTTTGAATATTTCGAGAAGCATCTCGGCCACATCCAAACCACACTAAAAACGACACAGGCATCACTAGAAGACAAAGTCTCAAGATTAAAACTCTCAGAGAAGAAGCTTGAAGAAACACAAACGTTGCTTAAAGATAGCGAGAAGAAAGTTGTAGATACACAGGCAAAGTTTGAATATTCTGACAAAATGCTACTTCACACCAGGACCACATTGCAAACTACACAGACATCACTACAAGACAAAGTCACAAGATTAAAAATATCAGAGAAGCAGCTTGAACAAACACAAACGATGCTGCGCGACAACCAGACCGCATTGCAAACTACACAGACATCGCTACAAGACAAAGAATCGCAATTAAAACTCTCAGAGAAGGAGCTTGAACAAACGCAAGCGTTGCTGCGCGACAAGCAGACCGCATTGCAAACTACACAGACATCGCTACAAGACAAAGAATCGCAATTAAAACTCTCAGAGAAGGAGCTTGAACAAACGCAAGCGTTGCTGCGCGACAAGCAGACCACATTGCAAACTACACAGACATCGCTACAAGACAAAGTCAAGAGATTAAAAATATCAGAGAAGCAGCTTGAACAAACACAAACGATGCTGCGCGGCAACCAGACCACATTGCTAACTACACAGAAATCGTTACAAGACAAAGAATCACAATTAAAACTCTCAGAGAAGGAGCTTGAACAAACGCAAGCGTTGCTGCGCGACAACCAGAACGCATTGCAAACTACACAGACATCGCTACAAGACAAAGAATCGCAATTAAAACTCTCAGAGAAGAAGCTTGAACAAACGCAAGCGTTGCTGCGCGACAAGCAGACCACATTGCAAACTACACAGACATCGCTACAAGACAAAGTCACAAGATTAAAAATATCAGAGAAGCAGCTTGAACAAACACAAACGATGCTGCGCGACAACCAGAACGCATTGCAAACTACACAGAAATCGTTACAAGACAAAGAATCGCAATTAAAACTCTCAGAGAAGAAGCTTGAACAAACACAAACGTTGCTGCGCGACAACCAGACCACATTGCAAATTACACAGACATCGCTACAAGACAAAGAATCTCAATTAAAACTCTCAGAGAAGAAGCTTGAACAAACGCAAGCGTTGCTGCGCGACAAGCAGACCACATTGCAAACTACACAGACATCGCTACAAGACAAAGTCACAAGATTAAAAATATCAGAGAAGCAGCTTGAACAAACACAAACGATGCTGCGCGACAACCAGAACGCATTGCAAACTACACAGACATCGCTACAAGACAAAGAATCGCAATTAAAACTCTCAGAGAAGAAGCTTGAACAAACGCAAGCGTTGCTGCGCGACAAGCAGACCACATTGCAAACTACACAGACATCGCTACAAGACAAAGTCACGAGATTAAAAATATCAGAGAAGAAGCTTGAACAAACACAAACGATGCTGCGCGACAACCAGACCGCATTGCAAACTACACAGACATCGCTACAAGACAAAGAATCGCAATTAAAACTCTCAGAAAAGAAGCTTGAACAAACGCAAGCGTTGCTGCGCGACAAGCAGACCACATTGCAAATTACACAGACATCGTTGAAAGACAAAGAATCACGATTAAATCTCTCAGAGAAGAAGCTTGAACAAACACAAACGATGGTGCGCGACAACCAGACCGCATTGCAAACTACACAAACATCGTTGAAAGACAAAGAATCGCGATTAAAACTTTCAGAGAAGAATCTTGAAAAAACGCAAACGTTGCTGCGCAACAACCAGACCGCATTGCAAACTACACAGAATAAGCTACACAATGTTGAAAAAAATCTCGGAGATGAAAAACACAATTTAGAAAGTACAGAAACGAGACTACAAGGTTTACAAACAAATATATATAGACTCTTATCAATTGTTGTACCTGATGTAGAGTTGGGTGAGGTTTCAGATGTTGATAACATCGTAATTGATATGATAGATGTCAATCAAGAAATTGAATAACATTTAGTCTATGATAAAATCGTAATTGATATGATAGATGTCAATCAATTTGTACTATAGTGTACGAGTTTACAACTGTCTATTGAGAGCAGTCCGAAATATCAAACGTTGGCTTTGTGCTTTGACGCTCTGGGTTAGTTTTGGTTTTTTTGTGCAAATCCGTACCACCAACAGTGCAAGAGTTTTTGTGTATTTTCTGGACGGCGAAACTCTCTATATATTTTACAACCTTTTAGCGCTTCAACTTTCAAGGTCAGGACACCTGACTGGCTGTGTTTTATTTATGTTATCTATGACCAAATTAATTCAACAACATGTACACTATGTGGCTAGGCAGATGTTAAGACTGTTTCATATGTAGAAGTTATTATTTTTATATAACGCCCAACAAAATCTCATACTAGTGTTACGTGGTAACATTTTCATATGTGTCCTTATATATGTTTTCAGTGATTAAGACACACTGGTTCCTCTATAGTCTGGAGTTCTCTGTTATAGTCTGGAGTTCTCCGTTATAGTTCTCTGGTTTGGTCCTGTGGCGTTGGCCGAGAGAGTTCCTCTGAATTTTCCGGCTTGGTTTCATCTTGTCAGTGGGGCAGCTGTCTAGTTGTTCGGATGGAAAAAAGCACGTGGTTTCAACACCCTAATCATAATACTTAACCAGCGTCAAACATATATCCTGTTTCCCAAATGCTACAAATCGACCCAAGATGTCTTGGCGGCAGTGGGAGAGATAAATATTGGGTCGTGCCCCCACGGGATCTGGCTTCTCGTGCAAAATCATAGTGATCAGTCTGCCCATTTGCTTTGTATCCCGAAGTGAGAGAGAGAGAAAAAAAATGGGGTTTAACGTCCACTCGACACAAACTAGTTCATTTCGGGACTAACATGGTTTAATTTTATTTCAATAATTCGCTTGCGCGTAGAGGTCTTTAGCAGTGGGAGGAAACCGGAGGACCCGGAGAAAACGCACGAGGTTGGGCAGGCGACCCTACTCCTTGTCACATACAACCGGGGATTCGAAACCACGCCAGTTGACCCAATGACAGGCTTTATGATACAGCACGCACGTCCTAACCATTCGGCCATCCAACCCCCCTGTATCCCACGATGGAGTTAAATGGTTGTACATGAAACTTGAACCGTATCCTCTCTGTATCTTTGCATGATTATTTTTATCTGTTTACTAAACAAATTTCATTGATCATAAATCATCGAAGGGATGAGAGACAAGTGAATTCACGTACAAAGCTCTTCTACCTACAAATTCATGGTAATAAAGCAGCATTAATATTAAAACAATACTCATGCGATAAATATCAATTTTACTTTTATACTCACAAATATATATAATATTAAAGTTTACAATTTACTTGTACATGGATACATATATTTACGTTTTATTTTTATAATTGTATTACCTTTTTTTATGTTCTTATTTACATTTAAACTATACTACTGTTTTTAAAATATAAAATCGTGATTGTTCACTACCACTGGGTGTGTTACAATATTAAACATACATTGTGCAAGAGCTAAATCTGCCAATTGCCGGTCTTTCTTTAGGCCTGAAATGTTATCTAAATTATTAATTAGACATAATTAACTTATCCTGACCATAATCAAAACTCGATGGCATCGCTAACCTGCGATATTTACTGGATTAGAACCCGGTCTGCTGCTACTGATTAAATCAAAAAATGGATAATCGAGACTATGTTTTTCATCTTACCGACTCTAATAATGATGATCGCGGCAGGCCCAAAATTCAATCGCTTTAGGGTAGATCGCTTTGACAGAAATTTTCAGCAAATTCCCTTTACATTATCTAGGTTTTAACTATTATTATAGCGAGAACTGCCAGCTCTTTATCTAATCTCCAATAATGTATCATTAACTGACTTGTAGTTCTAATTTACCTCAGTGTAGTATTCTCATCTATTTTAAATCTTTTGAGAGATACTGATAATATTTTGCATAATTTTTATTGTCGTGGACCCTGAACATCAAGACTACCTTCCTTTCATATGTTTGTGGACACTCAACAGGTCACAATTTGTATTCGATTTTGACGAAACTCGATTGAAACATGGGTTTACATCCCGAAGATCTCGGTTCCGTTCATTATTTTCCTGGATGATCCCTGATTGAACGAAAAATAGCCTTTTTAGTTATCCTATCCGTCCATTGCAAAATGTGGGCATACCTTGCATGGCAACTGCTTGTTATGTATTTTTCATCCACTTTTAATGTATTTTTCATTGACAGTGTATAATTTACATGCTGCTCGAAATGTGTTTTATGTAATAAAATATCTATCTTTACACACCTTGAGATGTTATTTCCTGTGATCTCCCATGCATGTTATGAAAAGCATCAACCTGTTATGACGTCATCAGAGTGTGATATCATATCGACCCTAATGCTATGGACAGACGAGCGTATTTTTCCGCCCGATCGCGGCGGTGGAAATTCGCCAGCGATTTTTTTACGGCCAATAACGAACGGGCACACGTAGCGATCGTCTCAAGAGCGTTCGCCACTCGTGAGTAATTATATCGATCACGTGACTTGTACAAAATGGCAGCCATTTTGAGATCATGTGATATCAACGATCTCGATGATTGGCTTATAAAAATGAATCGCCCGACAATATACGCTGGACACGGGCACACGAGCGAATTTAATCGCCGGCGAAATATATTCGGCCGAAAATATCTAAAGTGGGGAACAGACGAGCGTATTTTTTCGCCCAATCGCAGCGATTTTTAAAATCGCTCGAAAAATACGCCCGTGTGCCCCTTCAGGGCGACGACGATTCTGCTCGGCGAACCATTCGCCCGATCAAACGCTCGTATCTAGCATGTTAGATTTTTTTTGCCGAATATTTTTCGCCGGCGATTAAATTCGCTCGTGTGCCCGTGTCCAGCGAATATTGTCGGGCGATTCATTTTTATAAGCCAATCATCGAGATCGTTGATATCACATGATCTCAAAATTGCTGCCATTTTGTACAAGTCACGTGATGGACAAGTTATGTGATCGACACAATTACTCACAGAGTGGCGTCCGCTCTTGAGACGATCGCTACGTGTGCCCGTTCGTTACCGACCGTAAAAAAAAATCGCTGACGAATTTCAATCGCCGCGATCGGGCGGAAAAATACGCTCGTCTGTCCATAGCATAAGGACGATATCAGATATTCCCTCTGATTACGCACAACAGGTTTACGGACGCTGTTATGAAAAGGGACATAAAATCTTTCTTTTAATCAATTGTATAATGTTGTCAAACGATTCGGACGACGAACTTTGCCAGGCATGTTAACTTAATTTCTTCATCTTGCCATCAAGAACTTGTCTGAAAGTCAAATTCTGGATTGTGTAGACGGTATAATATCCACATTACTACTGTCTAAACCATCGTAAATTTTAAAAGTATTTCTTCGATTATGAACAAACTACTTAACTTTGGTTATTATAAACTTACCTGTGTGTTTGAAATCAACTCCCGTTAAATAAAATCCATTGCACAACTAATTATCCCAACGAATAAAAACGTTCACCCTTGAAAAATTGAACTCCCACAAATCTTCGACACAGAAAAATACCAATATGGAAGCTGATTACGTCACTCTTCGGGAGATATCATTTCGTATAAGGGGTGACAGCACTGAGTACAGCAAATAGAAACGGTTTTCGGCACTTTTACGACAATTCAAGTTTGGTTTAAGAAAAAGCTACAAATCTAGGCTCGGCATTGAGTTTGGGCGTTCACACACATAACTGTCCATATTCTGTTATTTTGTTAACGTTTTTTTACATTCTAGTAAATCTCTGCAAATTTTATAACTTTACCCTTTGGAATATTTTGTTTTAATAATTATTTGATTAGCGACTCGGATGTGATAATTTTCTTTTGAACACACATGCGGCACAAAAACAATTACATACGTTTTGCCGGCCTTTTAATATTACTTATGATTATCTTTAATATGATATATAAGTATAAGCAACACGCTTGTAAATGAAGAGCCCCGGGAAGAACGATCTAAGTCACTTTTTCAATGAACCCCAGTTAATGGCGCCATCAGGTAGCAAATTGTATTTAAGCTTTCTGTGGAAAAATCTCTTTCAGGCAAAAACGATCGGAGTCACATCGAACCAAGGCCCTTCTGAAATGGCCCCCCGGACAAATAGGCCTATACGTTCATCGTACCCTTTATTTGACCTTAACTGGCTGAAAAGTGGAAGTCAGTTGTTGTACTGGGGCCGGTTGCTCAAAGCTCTGTTATCTTTTAACGATCCGTTAACATGGAGTTAACGGATCATTAATTTTAACGGAGAGAAAGGTTGTTGCTGGAAGCCCCGTTAACTTTAACGTGTAGTTAACTTGGCGTTATATTTAACGGAGGTGTTGGTGTCCGTTATCTGTTTAATGATGGTATTAGTTGGCTGTAGCAAAAAGTCATAGATTACATTGTACATATGTAATTTTCTATAGAACATTCTAGAGGGTTGGGCGATGCGGGCCTATTCCATTTTCTATAGGATGAAATTCTATACTATTTTACAGAATTTTGGTGGCCTGTAGGAAATAATGGCCCCATAATTCTGTAGTGCAAATCTCATAATTACTCCTACAGATTTATGCTAAAATTTCTAAAGGAAAAAATAAAGTATGGTGTTTTCTGTAGTAAATTCTAGTTATCTTTTTGTCTTTAATCAAGTTTTGTGAACAGACTGCACAGTTAGTTGTCTCACTGTCTTCAGTTTCTTGTTAATACTAACTTATATGAAGTTGTTATACATGTACATTGAATTCAAAAATTTAAAATTCAGCCAATGAACAAACAGTATTCTCTTGGATTAACTTTAATGAATCCGTTAGCTAACGGATAATGAAATTGACTTTCCAGTAACAGAAATTTAACAGACCGTTAACAAACGAAAAGTTACCAAGATAACGATCCGTTAAACTCTAACGGATCGTTAAAATAACTTAGTTTTGAGCAACCGGCCCCTGGTAATTATGATTCGTACTAAACATCATTTTGAAGTTGTAATTAAACCCACTCATTGTTCTGTTCGCGTCAAGCATTCTCGTCCAAAAGTCAGTTTTGCCTTTTATGCGAAAAGACAAACATGTGCACGGTCGTTCTTCCCCTGGACTCTTCAAATGTTATTGAAGCGGTTATAATTTCATCGAAAGAATGCCATCAAATTAACAATACACTCGGAGGCGAGCTTCATGATCCTTGTTAAATTATTTATAACATAAAGAAGATAGGATATTTTTAGTTTATATATGACTTTATTTTTACGAGTATCCGTGCAATCAGTGATATTTTCATTGTGAATAAAATTTGATAGACTGGCGATCAATGGTTTCAATATAAATCTCTTATGTAATTGTCTTCAGTTATATTTTTCGTCACCCAAACTCAAACGATCGTGCTTTGTTTGCATTGCAACACGTGATTGTCAAACCATCTGCCAAAATTAAACAACCCCCGCAACAGCTGAAATGGTTTAGCCCAACACGTAACGAAAGCATTGTTGTCTTCCTCTTAGTCGAAATTACAAGTAAATAGTCAAATTTGTCAAGAGAGAACTTTTTTATTCGTTGGGATATTTAGTTGTGCAATGGATTTTATCGAACGGGAGTTGATTTCAAACACACAGGTAAGTTTATAACCACAGTGTAGGGTGACCCACCATAAATAAATATCTCCAAATATCTCGACAACTACGCCACAATATTTATATATATGCCAAGCCTCAAATCAGTTTCACACAATTATAGTCACTAAATAAACGATCATGTTGTCCTTAATAAGCTATGACCATTAATCATCTATAAATAATAGACTGAAAACTGGTTCCAAGTTGCGTCCATAACATCCAGACACTTTTGAGTAAAAGATAGGTTACGTGCCCTTGTTTTGAAATTAGTCTCGCTTTACCAGTCTATCGACCATTCTACGTCTGATTGACAGGTCGGGATAATCAAGACTACTTTTTTACGAAACATAACAGAAAGCTAGAACAAGAAATTGAATTTAGAAATAAGCACTTTAGACAACTCAACAATTGTTTTAAGAAACTTGTAAAAGTAAAATGAAACTACTGCTAGTATCATGTTCCTGCTAAAGAAAGTGATTCAGAGATAGTATTTGTACTAAACTAAAAGATGCCGCTCTTAACGGTACAGTTAATGATAAAGCAATTTAAAAAATAAAACAAACGTAATTACTAAAGCTGCTGTAATAACCAAGAAGCTAAATTTTACTGCTATTCAAAATCGTCAACAATAGATTTTTTACGGCTGTAATAGTTGATATATTTGTAGAGAATTGCACGTGCCATGGCTATTTATCGACTCAAAGCGAGTGCGGGGTAGTCAGAAATCAGTTCGAGACACGCAACTGAAGCGTGCACATTTAGCCGTGTCGAGACCAACTTTCTGTAAAGTGCACGGGTCATCCTAACCACAGTTAAGTAGTTTATTCACAATCGAAGAAATCCGTTTAAAATTTACGATGGTTCAGACAGTAAAAACGGAATTCGGTGGGTAATATTCATCATTTTATTTTGCTTACTTCCAAGACGAATCTAGACATCCAAAAAAAAAAGATCTTATATACTCGTACCTTCCACTACTTCCAGCACACACAGGAATTTTCGTTCACTATCGTGTTTATTATTCCGTCACACTGATCAACTGTTAAAAAAGTTAACAGCCCAATGATTTTTACGTAAGCTATTTATGGGCACGGCAGATTCACTGATGTCTTGTCACTCGAAATGGAAAAGCGTGTATCATGTCTATCTTTCTCACAGTCTGAAATATCCGAATACATTAAATCCTTATTAAATATTTTCTGCATAAATTCTGCACTTTGACAGCTTTAAATAATTCTTTGTCAGAATCTACGTTTTCTTTTTCAACCATATTTTCTACAAACTGGCTTGCGCGGATCAATTCGTCGTCCGAATCATTTGACAACATTGCACAAAATGAATACCAGTTTGTGAACACGTGGTTACTAATGCACGTGCAACTTAGAACTTGTTTTCTTAATTTTGTCTTATCAGTCGGAGAGCCGGTATAGCCAAACCATTGTCTTATAGGTGAAATCAATTAGGATAGACTTAAAGTAGCTAAGTCCCTAACTCAATATCATCCAAAATCTTTGACTTTGAAAACACCAATTATTTACTAATTTAAATCAACATTGATGCTGTGATCTTACCGGGAGAAGATGGGCTTCTGATATCCAATATTTAGGACAAAATAAACATTTGCCCGTCTTCATTAGCCCAGTAT